TTCACTAGCCACAATTGAAATTCATGTTACAAAATTGCATGCAGTGTTTTTGAAAAAAATCATTAACCATAATTGAAATTTATATTATAAAAAGAATGGCTACTTATTTAGCATAAGTAACACACCCCACAAAACTGCTAAATTATCTAAATATAATGTGGAGATAAAATGGTTATTTTCTTGAAATCCCCAGAAAAGTAGCCCCAGTTATAAAAGAGAGGTTAGTATCAGATTGGAAATCTTAACTAATTGCCTATATTGATTTCAGTTTTTCTGTGAAATGTGACAGTAGTTTATTGGGGATTTTCACTACAGAGTAGTTGTAAAATAGTTCATAACTTTTGTAGAAATCTATATTTGGTAGCACACTGAACTCATTTAAAAAATTGGTCCCTCAAGCCTCCCTTTACTCACAGATCATTTAGAAAAATATCAGATTATCCCTTTTAACATTAAAAACAAAAGATTTAAGTTTTAGTTAATTTTTTCAATGCATTAGATATAAATATCTACAGTTAACTGTTTTTGTTGTTTTTTGTTTTTTTGAGGCAGGGTCTCGTGTACAATTCAGGCTTATCTTGAACTCACTGTGTAGCCCAGGCTGGTCTCGAACTCACAATGCTGGGATTAAAGTTGTGTGCCACCATAGCTGGCTACATAGGTAGCTGTTTTATATGGCTATTTTTATTTGAATTTCACAAGAATCCTATAGATGCTATTATCAATGTTTTACACGCTCAAAAACCTAGGTTCAGGGTGTTTTCTAGTTTGCCTAAAGTTACTCTAAAAGTAAGAGGTGAGCCACATATTAGAAGCCATTTGGTCAAACACAAGCAGCATGTTCATCCACCATAACCATCTGCCTGCCTTGAGAATACCGCTACAGATTATGTTTTAAGAGGTAAAGATAAATCTCATTAACAAAGAATTTCTGTGAGGCTAAGAAAACCAGGATGATCACAGAAATCAGAAGTTGAATATTTTTTCTCTTTTTTTCTTCTTTAGAGGTTTTTGGGAGGAAGGGTCAATATTGGTGTTTGGATTGTCCCAGTGTAGATTTTATTACTGACCTTGTTGCAGGAAAGATGGTATAATGATGATGACATCTCTCCTCTGTGCACACATATCAGAGGCTTTTAACATGAGCCATCAATGTTGCATATTATATGTAAGACACAGATTTTATTCAAGTTCTATTAAGAATTTAAAAATATAATGAGAGTTTACTGTTCCTTACATGAAAGCAAATCCAGATGCAGATGTACAAAGAGAAGCAGATACTGATATTAATGCAGATATAAATATTTTCCTTGTTTCCCCTATATGAAATATTTCATGTAGGTGTGGGGAACAGAATTCTGTCTTCCTAGTTATTTTGAGGCTTTCTATGGCAGTTCATGTAATATAATGCTTAGAGAATAGCATGTATGTGTGTGCTTACTTAAGTTACCCAAGAAACAATGTCAGGAACAAGTTATATAAAAGTTTACTGAACTCTAATCAGGGTTTTGGTTGTATTTTATGTTAAAATTTCCTACATTAGATTATATATTTTTCTTATTCCATATTAAAATGAAAGAGTTGAATTTTTAAAGAAACAATGTTTAAATATTCTATTTAACAAAGAAAAATATTGTATTGTGATCATAATCCTCTTTGGCTATCACCCCCTTTATTTCTGTAGTGTGATTATTTCCTTCCACACCTTCTCCTGTTCATCTCTAAGCACACAGGTACTCATACTTGGTATTCTGGGGGTTTGAGTTTTTAAATACACCATCATATTTTGATCATTTTGTGTACATTATTATGGTTTCTGCCAGTGATATATCTTATGGCTTTATTCCTTTTGGTTGTACTAAATAGATGCATTTACTTAAGCTTCTGTTTAGAATTCCGTAATAAGAACATATCATACTTTATTCCCATTCTTTCTTGTCAGGTATTTTAAGTCTTTTTCCATTATTTTCTTCAGATTTAGTTTTCTAATGCGAACATGGCTGATGTGAATACTATTGTGAATGCTTTATGGGGTGTTTTCCCTAGGCCTAATGCTTATTCTTTAAGAGTATCCTCAAATTTTATATGGACATGATTATTACTTTTGTTTTCACAAGGCTAAAGAGTGAGCCTCTTTGTTTAATTTGTATCTTCCTGATGGAAAAGTATTGGAGAATTTTTATTTGTGCTATTAACCTGTTGTAATTTTTTCTTTGTACATTGCTTATGTAAGGGCTTTGCTCTTCTTTGAAAATAGGTGACATAGGGGCTGGGGATTTAGCTCAGTGGCAAAGCGCCTGCCTGGCAAGCGCAAGGTCATGAGTTCGGTTCCCGGTACCGGAGAAAAACCAAAAAAAAAAA